GGCGAACCGCGGTGCGCCCACTATCACTCGCGCGGCTGCATTCTGGACTAACTGCTGTAATCAGCTGTCAAACAGAATAGATGGAGGTGTGAGTCAAAATTTAAAAATATTTCAAGGTGGGAAGAGTTAGATAGGAAGGTTTCATGTTTGAAAATTAAAACAGACCATTCCCCTGATCCAAATCAAAACCAATGCAGCGCTGCCTGTAAAGTATGTTGCTCTACACTGTTCTATAAATTGTTAATTCAAGCCAGTTACCCCCTTTACTAATAACATGATTCTCTTTATATATTAAAATCCTATTTAACCAGTAGCTTAATCAAAAGCCACAAAAAAAGCATGGCATAACATTTCTTCAGTTGATAACTCGGAAATGGAAAATGGAAAACTAGCGTCTTAAGTTACCGGAGATTTAGCAGTTTCTTGATAATTTTGTATGTTTAGGTGACCGAGGAGGTTGGAATAATGATCGTTCCAATGAGAAACAAGGAGGTATTTCACATATAATATTTCAGTAATTGTTGCATTTACATTTATACGTTTGATGTCAACAAAACCATAAGCATTTCTTCCTGGAATGTTCCCATTTTCAGAATGGGATGTAGTTGATGGTCTCCAATCTACTTCCATGCTCTAAATTATTATCTATAATAAATTATCATATAATAAATATAATAAATTATTATAATAAATTATATAATAAATTATCATAAAAGTATCTGCTATAATGTCCTATCTATCAATGACTACTTCAGCTTCAACCACAACAATATATGAGCACACAATAGATACAAACGATTGCAGAAAATACGACTTCAGCAACAGAGTGGTCAGTGACTGGAATGGATTACCTGACTGTGGTTTCTTCCCCAAACCACCACAACTTTAACCTTAGACTATCTACTGTGGCCCTCACCCCATTCCTAAGAGGTCTGCAAGGGGCATGCATAAGCGCACCAAAGTACCTACTATCCCTATCCTAATGTCCCCATTTATTCATATTCATTTCGTGTATTCAAAATCATGCTTACACTTATATGTTATCTAATACATGTTTGATGAAATAAATAAATAAAAATAAATACTCCCTGAAAATTTGTTGTGGAGTTCCATAATTTTGCAGGAGATAGGTGCAGAGAAAAGAATCATTTTCCAGAATTGAGGAAGAGCTATTCTGGACTCAAACCATTGTCTATATTAAAAGTTTTCAACTGGGAAGTTACCAACTTTCTCCCAAAAGCAAATATCGTGGATTTCTTTTTTTTAAAATTCAGCTTGTTCTGCTAAGACAATCAAGTCTCCTGAAAAAAGTGCTCCAAAAGGGAAGGAAGAATAGAAAGCGATAAGATGACATGGCTTAAACGAAGATGTAAAATTGGTTTCGTTTGAAAGAAATCTGCCTTTCACATCATAGTATTTCACAAGTCTCCTCAGAATTCAGTGGAACTTCTGGTTATATGTGTATATTCTGCTGAGTTAAACTTTCATTCAGATATTCATGGTTATGTTGTAAATTTAATTCAGATGATTTGGTAAAGACAATCATTATGACAGTTACAGTATACAGTATAGATATTTATTGTCCATCCAAATATGCAAAGTCTTATACAAAGTTAGATCTTATTAATGATGATGGGTGATTTGAACCCCAACTGATAAAAACTTACATTCTATATTAGAAAGGAAAAATATTAAGTCAACCCTAGTTCAAGAAAATGTTATCAAAATGCTATAAATGTTATCAAGTATTACAAATACTTTATAAATAAATACTGGCAAATTCACAGAGAATAACATTCATAATAGCTTAATTAAGCATAGCTTAATTTTAATATTGTCTTTATGAAGCTTCCATTTAAGCAGATTACTTTGAACTCACCCTATAGATTGGTATAGCTCCAAATACAAAACCAGCGTCTTTGTTTCCAGATTTGAAACTTTCCAAAGGGGTTTTATTCACCTGTAATATTAAAATAATATAATTTAAGTTCCAAAAAATGGGACGCGGTGGCTCAGTGGCTAAGACGCTGAGCTTGTCAATCAGAAAGGTGAGCCATTCAAATCCCTAGTGAGCTCCTGTTACTTGTCCCAGCTTCTGCCAACCTAGCAGTTCAAAAGTATGTAAAAATGCAAGTAGAAAAATATGGACCCCCTTGGTGGGAAGGTAACAGTGTTCCGTGTGCCTTCAGCATTTAGCCATGCCGGCCACATGACCACGGAGAATGTCTTCGGACAGCACTGGCTCTTTGGCTTTAAAACGGAGATGAGCACCCCCCCCCCTAGAGTCGGGAATAGACTAGACTAGCAATATATGCGAGGAGAACCTTTACCTTTAAGTTCCAAAAATATTTGTCTCTCAGTTATATTGTATTTAATATATTAAATTTGTATTTCTAAAATCTGATTTAAGTTGAATTCAATGCCTGTTTCATTTAAGTAGAGCTGCTTTAGCAAAAATAATGGTGGCTAGTTATAGTTCTGACTTGTGGACTAGACTGGGAAGTAAAAGAATCTCCAGAAGATGGCAAGGCATACCATTTCTGTATTGTTACATCCCTCCCTCCCACCCTCCCTCCCTCCCTCTAGTGCAGTGGTTCTCAACCTGTGGGTCGTGACCCCTTTGGGGGTCAAATGACCCTTTCACAGGGGTCGCCTAAGTTCATCGGAAAACACGTATTTTCCATGGTCTTAGGAACCGAGACACCAATTTTATGGTTGGGGGTCACCACAACATGAGGAACTGTATTAAAGGGTCACTACATTGGGAAGGTTGAGAACCGCTGCTTTATTGTCTATAAAGTCACCAAAAGCTGAGTTCAATTCAAGGAATTTCACAACAGCAATATTCTTCTTTTTTTCATTATTTCAACATGTTAGTTTGAACAAAAAAAGGAATGTTAGTATTATTATCATTATACAATGTAAGGCATAACATTTTTCTTAAATACTCTGGAAGTATGAAATTTAAGCATTGCTTATTATACTTTGAGTCATAATCTGACAGCATGATAATTCTCAAATTTCATATTACGCAGTTGGAAGAAACCAAAAGCTTTTCTAGCCAAAACCAAGTCTTTCTTACTGTCTTGCTTAGCGTGATCCAAAATCCAATAAAGTCCAATAACCATTCCAATAAGACACTGTTTCTTAACCTTAGCAACTTTAAGATGTGTGGACTTCAACTCCAAGAATTTCTCAGCCAGGAGTTGAATTGTATACATCTGAAAGCTGCTGAGGTTGACAGACAAAAGGCAAAATAAAGTTTCAATAGTAAGCACCTTGGGAGAAGCCAGGGACTTGAAAAACTTAAAATCCAGATCAACATCATGTCGGCTAGGCTTTTTCAACTTTAAAGATGACCTGGTCAGAGACTTCCATCTATTTAAAAGATATAATTGAGAAACAATATGTTACTTGCAAAACAAAGGAAGCATTCAGTTTCGTAATTATGTCTGTGATGAATACCATTAATTGGAATTTTAATATGGCCATCAGGAAAAAAATAGTGGTACTTTGCTAGTTTAATTCTGCAATTTGCTTAGGCATAAGCCCCGTTGAAATACAATTATCGAAGAATAACATTCATTGAATACAATGGCTATTTATTCTGATTATGTATTTGTAAGATTGCTTTAAATCAGAAATACACTCAGGCAGGACTCTGGCATGGAGTACCCTTCTTTAAGAAATAAAATTTATTTAATGATTGCCCATCTCCAGTGGACTCTGGGTGGCACACAAAACTATAAAAAATAGTTACAACTATTAAATTGGACAGATGGCAAATACAATAAAACAGAGCAGGGGCCTTACAAAAATCTTGAAACACCAACCCAGGCCTGGGATCCAGGCCAGGTTTTCAAAGGTCTCTGGAACCCCAGGAGAGAGGATACCTCTCTTATATAAGGTATGTGTGGGATACTGTTCCAGAGGGTGGGAGCAGCAACAGAAGGCATGTTTCCATGGTCCCACAAAGTGACAGTGTTTCATGGACCTGAAGCACAGTTGCTATTCGGGAATGTACTGGATGGGCAGAAACTATTGGAGATAATTTTATTGACAGGGAAACAATACTTCAATAATGAATAGATTAGAATAGGAAGAGATTGATGGAAGATAAATATTTTCAGCATTAGCTAATCGCTGCCAGACTGCAAATCCTATTTGATGCATGACATCACAGTGAGAAAAAATGATGTTTCCCACTATGTCGCTCCTAACAATGAAACAGAAAAACCAAGCTAAAAAGGAGAGGCAATTAGTTATTACCCCAGATGTAAGTAAAAGATTCAGGTAGTTGAGACAAAATAATTCCTGATTTATTTTAGAGGAATGGATAAATGATGAAGACATTTCTGGGAAAAATTAAGAATCCTATTAACATTAATATAAAAAGACCATCAAAAATTTAACAGAAACTCAATTAGCTGACATCATGTGCCACTCCTTATACAAATATGATTGTGTGAAATGAAGTATATCTGGTGCAGAATCTATATACCATTAAATTTCTCCTGTTTATAATTTTCTGCTGGGTGAAATGGGACTAAATTAAATCTAGCATCTCTTACTCCTATTGGATTCAAATCTTGCCTCTCTGCTGCTGTGGTCAGCATTGGTCACATATTGTCATGGCCCAATGGATGAATGACGATGTGGAACTGAAAGCAAAATTTGAAATGTCTTAATGGCAATAGGCAATGAGGGATGGGATGAGAGATTTTCAGATGCTTACTGATAAGATAAGATGATGGGGGAGGGCGGGGGGAAATGGGGGACAACCAATGGTCAACTGGTGAGACTTCTTCCTCTCAAGAGGGAGATCGTTCTTGGGAATATACCAGAATGGAGAGCAGCATAGCAGTCTTCTTCATGGTCTTTAGTTCCCTTGGTTTCCCCTTCTGCCACCCAAATTCTGTGCGTTAGACGAGGAAGAAGAGAAAAGTTCACTAAGGCTATGAAAGTGTGTGTGTGTGTGAAATGGTGCCAGCCTTATTATAAGTGGAAAGGATGATTCAACAGGTCATCGACTGTCTAGTTAATCATAATACCAATGAGCCTCTTATCTCCATTACTTCTGATTTGAAAGTACGCTAAACACATACTTTCAGCAAAGCAGATGTGCAACCTCACCTTTCCCTGTCAAAAAACAGAGGGTATCCAAACTTCTGCTTTTTATCCATAAACTTGTATTCTTCTTTTATTGTGAATGGAATTTCATTTACATCACAAGGCAAAATTATATCGGAGGATTCAGTAATTTCAAACAATCTGCGCTGTCCAAAATAGCCAAAGTAAACTCCACGAATTGAATGCCAAAGTCTATTAAAGAAATCCAACCAAGAAATATTTAAAAAATATTGTCAGCATAAAAAGATCTTGGAGCCAATGATATGGAGAGGCTTCAAATAATATTATGAAAAATACTAATCAAGTACAATTGGCATTATAATAATTTTTAATGGGGTACCTTTCAGGACAATAGATTAATAAGAGAATGACAATTCAGGTCAATATACGTATGTAATTGCCAAGGTGGCAATTGTAATGTTTCATCAGCTACCCTTTGGTAACAATTGGCTCAATGAAAAAGATCATGGAATATGCTTGCTGGGAACACCAACTTTTAAGTAAGACTTGCCCTGAACATTTTCCCTTTGTCATTGTCTTCTTTTTTTAATATATATTTTAGCCATCTTTCACTAGTGGCCATCTTTTTATGGTGGTGGCTAAGTTGCTATCATGAGAGACCAACACAGCCAAATTCCCAGTCTCCCAAGCCCCATTAATAGGATGCATAGTCAGCTCCAAAACTGATAGACACTTAGCAAAGGTGGGTTTCTACCAGTTTAGACCAGTTTGGCTGAACTGGTAGTGGTTTTCCGGCCTAGGTCGCCAGAACTGGCAGTGACCCAGGCCTGCCATGTCTCCGAACCAGTTCCCCAATTGGGGCAGCATGTTTCCCCCCCCTTTTTTAATGTTCTGCACACGCGCAGATCTATTTTTGGGTAACTGCGCACATGCGCGGAGAGAACTGGCAATAATGTTGGCAGCAACCCACCTTGGCACTTAGTAAAGAACTATCTAGGCTGGCTAATGTTGGGATTGAGAGCCTCAGACAAAAAACTGTCAAATCAGCGGTAACAGCTATATATAACTAACCTGACAGAACCATCCGTGGATGCAGTCACCACTAGGCATTTTTCAGCATCACAAAACAGGCTGATTATTTTAGCAGAATGAGCCCGCCAACACATTTGTTGCTTTACTTGCTACAAAAAATATAAGTTAACATTAGCTGTCTTCATATGCACAATTAAGTCAGAATTCTTAACACTTGAAGAAGGCACAGTGGCCAGGTTCAGACACAGCTAAGTCTCAGTAGATGATTTTCACATCATGCCAAGCCAAAAGTGGACAAGATACATTATGTCTTAATTGTATATACCGTATTTTTCGGAGTATAAGACACACCGTTTTTCCTCAAAAAAGAGGCTGAAAATCTGGGTGCATCTTATACATCGAATAGAGCATTTTTTGCCTCCCGAAGCCCCGCCCACTTCACCAAAATGGCCATGCATACCCTTATGGAGGCTTTCAGAGAGCTCCTGGGGGCTGGGGAGGGCAGAAATGAGCAAATAACGGGCTGTTTTTTGCCCCCCCAGCCGTCAGCAGCACTCTATAAGCCTCCATAAGGCTATGCATGCAATTTTTTTTGACAAAAACCGGGCCCGTTTTCACAAAAAAATGGATTGTTTTTTGTTCATTTTTGCCCCCCCCCACCCCCCCAGGAGCACTCTGCAAGCCCCCCAAGGCTATTCATGCTTTTTTTTAAAAAAATGGCCCATTTTAGCATAGGGGAGATTTGCAGAGTGTAAAAACTTTTTTTTTCTTTTGGAAAACTCTTTAACTGATTGAAGAGAATTACATTGATCAAGTGCTGTGCCAGCAGAAATATCTACCTTTCTACTGTATTTCTCTCTCTCTCTCTATTTCTCTCTCTCTATCCCTCAACCTACCTACACACACACACACATACTCTCTCTCCCTCCCTACCTACTGTATTTCTCTCTATATATATTTCTCTCTCTCTCCCTTTATCTACCTACCAACCTACCTATCTCTCTCCCTACCTATCTACTGTATTTCCCTCTCTCTATCTTTTTCTATTTCTCTCTCTCTATCCCTCTACCTACCAATGTACCTACACAAATTCTCTCTCCCCTTCCTACCTACTGTATTTCTCTCTCTCCATTTCTCTCTTTCTCTCCCTTTATCTACCTACCTACCTAACTACTCTCTCTCTCTCTTCCTACCTACCTACTGTATTTCTCTCTTTCTCTCCCTCTCTATCCCTCTACCTACCTACCTACTTTTTAAAAAAAAAGCCTCTTCAAAACCTTGGTGCGTCTTATACTCCAGTGTGTCTTATACTCTGAAAAATACGGTATGTGTGAGACAGTCTACAATGCCAGATAGTCTGGGGACTATTGATGGGTAAATGGAAGTTATAATGTCCACGCAGTTGAAGTTTAAAGAACAGGTTGTGAAAAAAAGGTGTGAAGACTCAAATTCTAGGTTTTATGTGAGAACTTAAGCATGTTCAAATTGTTAATTTGATATGGAAAACTGAGCTACCCATGACGAAGTGATGCAGTCACGTAACATCAAACTTTCCCAATTGCCATTGTTAAGCGAGGACTACCGGTTGCCATTTGCTTTTGTTAAACTTCATTGCTTGTGCCTATTTCTTTCATTTATTAACATTTCTTTACATTTTATTTCTGCCTTCTTCTGAGCAGTGTTTTGAATTATTTGCAAACATTCACCTCTCCAGTCAAGTCATTAAAAATGTTGATATGTAAAAGCCTGTGATTGATCTTGTGATAATCACATAATTAATATTCATGCCATTATTTAATAGAATTATTTTTAATAATACTTAGATTATTAATATACTAATCCAAATTAATAATCTAATTTTAATTTATAAATATCAGATTTTTAAACATTTTAGTAACTTCAAATGTTAATTTAGCAGCTTTGGGCAATAAAAATTCTGCATGTAAGCCATATTGAAAACAATCCTCATTTCCACAGATGTTTCTTGAATTATACAAATCATTAACTATTCATTTGCTTCATTTACTTTTAGTGTTTAAATTAAATCTGTATGTAACGCAAAGAATTTAGATTATGCGTGAATCCATGTAAATGAACTGGAGGATGGCAGGCATTATTTTGCATTTTGCTCACCCTGTCCTTCCTGCTTGGATCTTTTTGATTTTCCAGGAATGAGCCAATATTCCATCGAATAACATTTCCCTCTGTAAGACAAATCATCTATTAAAAAATTAGAACTTTTTCATAATACAGAATTGGCCAATGGCCGTCCCTAAAATAATCCTGTAGGTTAAGAAGCAGCGGAATTGGCATCAAGTGAACAATGATATTTTATTATTCAAACAGGGTCTCTTGATGGCTATTTTGTTCTGATTAAAGAAGACAGCTTAATATAAATTATTTTTATATCACAGAAAGCCATTTTTCTCATTTAAAGCAGTGTTTAAGGAAGGCTATGAATACATTTTCATTTCACCAAAATCTCATCTAGATTACTATGAAAAACAGATTCAACAACTACTGACATCCACCTGGAATCTTGCTATTATCTTATACAGTGCAATGCTGTGTGTATCAGAGGTGGGTTGCCAATTTTTATACTACTGGTTCAGGCGCACTCCCATGTGTGCTTGCGATGCTTCCAAGCATTCGCAGAAGTATCCGGGCAGGTGGGCAGAGCCCCCCGCTGCCACTATTACCGGCCATGATTCTTGCCTCACCAGCTTAATCTTTTGCATACAGTTTCTTGCAGTTAGGTATATTACATTTTTACACATATGATTTATTTACTAAGAAAGTCTATATACCTGTTGTTTTAACAAATGAGGGTGGATTACAGATACATTTAGAAAAAAAAGCATTCACTTGTACATTAAGGTATAACTGATCTAATAGTATCATTCAAAGACCTGGAAAAGTACTTATTTTATTTATTTAACAAATGTGTATAGCCACCCACCTATACTATATGAGAATCATACTGAGCAATAAAGCTTACCTTTATTAGCAGCAAAAAGCATTTTGGCAGCCCCATCAATACAAAGTGCTGTCAAAGGAATTGGAGCATGTTTTGTGTAAGGTAGAATTTCTTTTAGTAGATCTCCCTTTACAAACAGAAATGCAATCACAATTTAACAAATCAGAATTTTCTGCAGTTAGGACTTGGGGATTGTGTGAGTCATACCCATTTTCCTACCATTAAATTGGCTTGCAGCAAAACCTTATGCCTATTTCCTTCTAAATACATTATACCGTACTCGGGTGTACTGCACTGGATTTATGCATCACACTAAGCTAAGGCTTTTTAAAACAACGTTGTTCAAATATAATGGCCCAATTTGCACACGAGGCATAAAGTACTGTTCACAAACAAAAATGCTGGGTTCATACATGTCATGGCCAGCTCAGACTCTGGTGAGGATGCCAACAATGTGCACTCAATTCTTGTGTAACTGCTGGATAACTAGGAGGTACTGTAGCTGCCATCTATCTCTGAAAATGAGGAATTTGAGCTGCTACCAGTACTTGCTCCCAATGCAAGGGCTTGCCATGCAAATAGGAGAGCAAAGTGGAGGTATAATTATGTCAATATGGTAAACATTTGAGTTAAGATATTTGAATTAATATGAATTAATGGAAGAGATGCA